ACCAGGAGCTGCTAGACAAATCTCCATATAAATTTTGAATTGTGATTATTTTTCAATTTCAAAATTATAACATAGTAGTCAGTTTTGGAGATTTTTTTTGTAAAATATATTATTAAGGTATACTTTTCAAGTTTGTATTCCATATGAAGCTTAATATTTAGTTTATGGCCTTTGGGTTTTATGTGACTCTGATTAGTCTATTAAGAAATGTGTCCATTATTATTTTAATGACTCAGACTTTAGTGCACATCAGAATTGCTTAAGACATTGTATCTTAGTCACTTTTGGTTACTATAATACAGTACTATAAATAGGGTGGCTCAAACAACAAACACTTCTTTCTTACAGTTCTGGAGGCTCAGAATTACCAAATTAAAGTGGCAGCCAATTCCTTAGAAGGCTGTGTTGCAGATGGCAGCTTTCTTTTTATATCATTATGTGGCAGAGAGAGATCATCTTTCAGAGTGTCTTCTTATAAGGGCTCTTCTCCCATTAATAAGTGCTCTGTCCTCATGATCTAATTGCCTCCAAAGACTCTCCCTCCAAGTATAGTCATATTGGTTATTAGGGTGTCAATATATGAATTTTGAGTGGACACAAACAGTCAGTACCATCTTGTTAAATATGGATTTTTAAAAGAAATTCAAAGCACAGTAAGTATATTCTTTATTTCACTCTCTTTTTTTGATAAACATAATTTAAGTATGCACAGAAGTTTTACTGTAGATTCAAGTCTGCTGTGAGATAAAAACATTGAAACACATTGTCCTAATTTATTTTCTTTGTTGTGCTTATTAACTACTTGATATACACTGTATTCATGAATGTGTTATTTGTTTTCAGTATCTCTGTACTAAAATGCTAATTCCATGAAGGAAGCCACATGATTTATTTTGTTCCCTGCAGTGTCCCCAGGTGAATGCCTGTCATATAATATGTGCTTGATAACTACTTCTTGAATGAATGACTGTGATTATCTGTATACTGGGGCTGGTGGGTTCAAACTCAGCTGGGCCTGCTAAGTAAGAATGACAACAATGACAACAAATAGCCAGGTGTTGTGGCGGGTGCCTATAGTCCCAGCTACTAGGGAGGCTGGGACAAGAGAGTCACTTAAGCCCAAGAGTTTGAGGTTGCTGTGAGCTGTGATGCTACTGAACTCTACAGAGGGCAACATAGTGAAACTCTGTCTCAAAAAAAAAAATTGGTAGGTATTCCTTCAATCTGAGGACTTTATTTAATTTAAAAGTATTCTCAATAATTATCTCTTAAAATAAGACTGTATTTTTCAACCTATTGAACTATTTCTAGAATCTTCATACTTTTTTCCAAAAGAGGCTGTATTAGTTTGCAGTCCCACTAGCAATATAAAAGTGTTCCCCTCTCTCCACATCCATGTGGGCTAGTCTGACTAGGGTTAAGTGATATCTCAGAGTGATTTTGATTTGCATTTCTCTGATGACTAGGGATGATGAGCATTTTTTCATGTTTGTTGGCCCTTTGTCTGATTTCTTCAAAGAAATTCCTGTTCAAATCTCTTGCCCATTTATAAATGGGATTGTTTGCTCTTATTGATTAATTTGCGTTCTCTATAGATGCTAGTTATTCCTTTGTCAGATTCATAGCATGCAAATATCTTCTCTCATTGTGAAGGTGGTCTGTTTGCTTTAGTTGTTGTATGCTTAGCTGTGCAGAGCTTTTTAGCTTGATCATGTTCCATTTATTCATTTTTGGTGTTGTTGCATTGCCTAGCGGGTCTTCCTCATAAATTCTTTCCCTAGGCCAATAGCCTCAAGAGTTTTTCCTATACTTTTTCTAGGACTTTTATTGGTTCATATATTAAATTTAAATTTTTTAGCCAGTGAAAGTCATTTTTGTTGGTGGTGAGAAGTGTGGGTCCAGTTTCATTCTTCTACATATGGTTAATCTGTTTTCATGTTTTTAATCTCACCATTTTTCTTTCTTTTTATCTCACATTAATATGTGGTTAATTCTCACCATTTTTCTAAGTAGTATTCTAGACGAATCCCTTGTTACTTACCCTATATTCCACTATTTCCTCTTTTTATGTCTAGTTTTGGGCTTAGTCCATTTAATATTTGTTTTGTTTTGTTTTAGTGATTACAGTGTTTATTTTCAAGAGTTTTAATAGATTTTTCATATCTACCTGTTCTTATTTTCTTTCTTTTTTTTTTTTTTTTTTTTGAGACAGAGTCTCACTATGTCTCCCTCAGTAGAGGGCAATGGCATCACAGCTCACAGCAACCTCCATCTCTTGGGCTTAAGCAATTCTCTTGCCTTAGCCTCCCAAGTAGCTGGGATTACAGGCACCTGCCACAATGCCAAGCTATTTTTTCTTTCTTTTCTTTTCTTTTTTTTTCTTTTTTTCTTTTTTTGCAATTGTCATTATTGTTTTAGCTGGCCTGAGCTGGGTTCGCACCTGCCAGCTCCCATGTTTGTGGCTGGCACCCTACCCACTGAGCTACGGGCGCCACCTTTATTTCTTGTTTTTGTTTCTATAATCTTTTGTGTATTTAAGGAACCTTAACTTATTGTAAAATCCATTTTTGTATATTCTGTTACTATCATTTTGTCTCGAGGACTGAATTTTTGACTTGAATAGTGTCTGTGTATGTGGGTTCATTTGTTTTGGAATTTCTTGTTTGTAGATCACATCTTTTTTTTTTTTTTTTTTTTTTGAGTCAGAGCCTCAAGCTGTCACCCTGGGTAGAGTGCTGTGGCATCACCGCTCAGAGTAACCTCAAACTCTTGGGCTCAAGCGATTCTCCTACGTCCGTCTCCCAAGTAGCTGGGACTACAGGCGCCCACCACAACACCTGGCTATTTTTTGTTTACAATCGTCATTGTTGTTTGATGGGGCCTGGCTGGATTTGAACCTGTCAGCTTAGGTGTATGTGGCTGGCGCCTTAGCCTCTTGAGCCATAGGCACTGAGCTTATGGGTCACATCTTAAGGCAGAAGGTTGCTGTTACTGTTTTCTTCTGCCTCTTTTCTTATTACGTCCCCTTATCTAATGCCTGTTTCTATGTACAGATTTTATGGTTTCTTCAAAATTGTCAACCTCACTTCTGCTCCTCTTCCTGAAATAGGTTTTATGTTGGTTGCCTGGGGCTCTTCCCTACACAAGGAATTTGCTGTATTTAGCCTCAGTTGCAGAATGCTTTGACTCAACTCCTGACTGCATTGCGATATCTATAAACTTTTACCATATTTTACTTTCTTTTTTTTTTTTTTTTTTAGACAGAACCTCAAGCTATCCCCCTGGGTAGAGTGCTGTGGCATCACAGCTCACAGCAACCTCCAACTCCTGGGCTCAAGCAAGTCTCTTGCCTCCGCCTCCCAAGTTGCTGGGACCACCACAATGCCTGTCTATTTTTTTTTTTCAGTTGCAGCCATCATCGTTTGGCGGGCCCGAACTGGATTTGAACCCGCCACCTTAGGTGTATGTGGCTGGCACCTTAGCCGCTTGAGCCACAGATGCCGAGCCCATATTTTACTTTCATATTACTTTTAGTTTTAGATGAGGATGGGAAGTTGTTTTTTCCAGCGTCCACTTATGAATTAGCATTCCCACCCTAGTCTTTGGTTGCAAGCAGTGAGCCTGGCTATGCTTCTACATATTGAGCAAATCACTTTTTTTCTCTATTATCATGGGAAGTCAAGCTCCTTTCCACCTCGGCCTGTGTCTAGATCTGGAGGATAGCAAACAACAGCTTCATCCTCATTCAAATCTTTATGTTTCTGTTTAGTTCATGATTGTCAGGGTTGTTGTGTCACTTTAATTTTGTATCTAACATTTTTTTTTTAATAAAATAGAAGAGAGGGTAGGTGAAGTATGAACTTACTATGCTAACTTATTGAAAGTCTATTGTAAATTTTTTTATGAACTATTCGACTTTCAACTTATCTCTCGTAACCAGTGTTATATTCTTTTGACTGGGGCTCCTTCTCATATGCCTTTGTGCTTCTAAGAACTCTTACTCCATATTACTTTCTCAAGTGGAGGTACTTTCCTTTTTTCTTATCTGTACATTCTTTGATTCTTCAGTGGTTTAGATACATACTCCAATTTGTTACACCTATTTTTAAAAGTTTTAAAAAATATAAATTAGTGTCTAATAAATTTCTCCTCATTTATGATGTAAATTGACCAGTGACAGCCTGATTATATAATATCTTGAGCCCTGTTTTTTCCTTTCCTTTCCCTTCATTTTCATTTCTAAAGTTGTATTTGTTTATTTTTAGACGATAGTCATTATTTGAAAGTAGTATGATTTTATGTTTTCCAGATAAATATGTAAAGTCTCCATGTTTTTATGGCTGAATAGTTTTTCTGGTGTACATATACCACCGTTTATTAATTCATTCATGGGTTGTTGGGCACTTGGGTTGCTTCCATGTCTTGGCAATTGTGAATTAAGTTGCAATAAACATTCTAGTGCAAATGTCCTTATGATAAAATGATTTATTTTCTTCTGGGTAGATTGATTATTTAACTATCATTTAGTATATTTTGTAGTATTCTCAGAGAGTAGAAATGTATGAAAGGTGTCAGAAATCCAGATATTCAAGTGTTACAGGATCTGTTCCTCTCTCTGTTTTGGGACTCTACCTTAAAAATGGTAATAGTTTAGTGTATATAAAATCTTTAACTTAACTAATATATTGACTATATTTAAATTATTTTGGGGTTGATATTATAGTTATTGCAATAATGTTAAACTATATTTTATGTGTTTTTAGATCATATATCTAAATACGGAAATGAAACTTTTTTTATAGCATGAAGTTGTCAGCAGTTGTAAGTTACTGTTGCTTGCCATATGGTTTTTGATTAATTCTGAAAGAGCTGTCAACACAACATGATTTAATTTTCTGTATTTTAAAGTGATATTTATTATCAGGATGTAAAAATTTAAACTATTAGCTATGAATTATGACCAATAATCTCTTGGTATATGTATATTTTTTTGTATCTAGAGAAAAACAGAAATCTGAAGCAAAAGACAGAAAAGTTCTAGAAATTCTGCAAGTCAAGGATGCTAAAATACAAGAATTGGAACAGGTTGGTGTTATAATAAAAAATATTAAAATTATTAATTTGCCTTGGGTAGTAGATTGTTAAAATTATTTTCAAATTTCTGTAGTAATGTTCTTAATAATGTCATGGTGATTATGCGTAATGCATTACTATTTTGAAATCACTTTAGTCAGGTCATTCTTCATTATTGTTTTTGCTTGTAGCCTATTATATGTTTTCTGAATTATTAGGTCATGATATTTATATATTAAAACTCTTCAGGTAATGTTATAATTTTATAACAGTATCTAGCTCTTATTATTCTGTTGAATTTTACCTTTATAAATGAGCAGTTATTCACTTCTGAAGGTTGAAAACATTTGCATGGATTTATTTATAGAAAATATCAACAATAATGGAGGTTATTCTATTTACTCTTTTAAACGTCTGCTTTTTTTAAGTTTCAGATTAATATATTGATATAAACAATAAGGTTACGTTGTTTGCATTATATAAAGTCCAAATTGCAGTCGAGCCCTTCACCCACAGTATACCCCTATATTGTACTTGCTAGGTGAGAGCTTAGTACAATATTATCTTTTACATATAATAGTAAATTATATAATTATAAATAATTATGTGCATAATTATATAAATGCATACATATAATATGTAAAATTGTGATTGTATAATCAGTATATTATCATTGTAATAATACATGTGGTCAGTCTAGGAACCATTTTCAAGATACACATATCTCTGCTAGGCTGACTCCTATAATCTTAGCACTCTGGGTGGCAGGGGTGGGGAGGATCCCTTGAGCTCAGGAGATTGAGACCAGTCTGAGGAACAGCTAGGCCCATCTCTACTAAAAACAGAAAAATTAGTCAGGATACCTGTAGGCCCAGGTACTTGGGAGGGCAAGGCAGGAGGATACCCTGAGCCCAGAAGTTTAAAGTTGCTGTGAGCTAGGCTGACACCATGGCACTCCAAGCTGGGGAGACAGTGTGAGACTCTGTCTCAAAAAACAAATGAACAAACAAACATCTCAAAAATAGAAGTAAAAGAAATGTATTATAAGAATGGCCTATATCACTATATAATACTTTAATTCATTTTCTACCCAAGTGCTCATTATGGACTCCATTAACTATAATTTGTCTGGTATTAATGGAGGTACCTTTATGCTACTATACTCTTCTGATTTCTGAATCTGCTTTCCTTACTAAACAATGAAAGGGTCATAAGAATGTGGATATATGGTCAGTTATTATAATAAAGTTGTTTTATTAAAGCACTAAAAGTCTCATCCTGCATTAACATAAATTCTAAGTGGAATGAAGATTCCAATGTGACATATCAATTTGAAATTTATACCTTCTCCAAAGTTGTGTTTTTCTTACAGACAATGTCATAATTGGTACAGACAGTGTCATAATTGGGAGTATAATCATAAAATTTGAAGAATAACATTTTAGTTAGCTTATTATGGAAAGAAACGATTGTATTTGCCACCTGCGTATCAAACAATGTCAAAATGTTTTGTAAAATAGGTAAAAATTGCCATGTGCATGGTATATTAATTGGGCCAAGCTAAGCTGCCTAGTGTATACAATCTTATGATACAGAAATAGCAGACATCATTTTTATTAACATTTCATTGGGAAAAGTACTTGGCCACTCTAAGATTTAGGGGGGTTGAGAAAATTTAGATTGAGCCTGAATGGTCTCTTTCTCAGTTAACAACTCTGTTCTATGGAGGAGAATGGGTTTTGGTACTCTTTTTAATATCCTTTGGAGTTAATTTTGCATTCCTTTTGGTGAATGCTCTTCAGTTT